TATATTTTTCAATTTTTGAATTTTTTTCTTTTTTTGGGTAAAGAAAATTTTGACGTGACCCTGAAGCAAAAGTTGTTCAGTTTATTTTTCTGCTAACATGAACTGTTTTTTTTTTTTTTTTTTTTTTTTTGACGTGACCTATTTTGGCCCTTCCACAACCGGGCCGCCCAGGCAACCAAGGTCACCCGGGCGGCCCGGCTGGTAGCCTAGCCCCAAATGCAGTTTTCAGTGTTGGGGGGGTTACCCTGGGGCTGAAAAGTGGGGGTCCCTGTTAACCACTTGTGTCTGATCTGTGGTTTGACGGAGGACTTGCTTGCAAAAAGGTCGACTTGGAGGGACAGACTTGTAAGATCGCAATGGAAGGACAGAAAGCTCACCGAGGGACTGGAAGAATGCCACGACACAGTCAGGGCTGGACGATGATACAGATGCAGAGGTACTGAAGTGACCATTGGTCACTTCAGCTTCAAGAAGATGCATATGAGACTGTTGAAGCGCTTCTGCTGGCCAGCGGCAAGTGATAACGTGTTGGAGTACGTGAGGAGCTGTGCAGTCATGAACCAGCCTCGCCTTAACTCTTGCACGTAGGAGCTGACACTGTGAAGGACACCCTCTGGTACTCACTATTGATTTTTCTTTTCCTTGGACAAAGCAATACTAGACAACAGACAGCTGCATAGCAATTTTCCCAGATGGAAGTCCATTCTAATCTCTTTGAGAGATTCAGCGCATTTTACCATTTGGCAGGCACGTTGTAATTTGCACACGCACATAGGCTGTAATCCTCACAAGAAATCCAACCCCCCTTGGTACATTCATTCTGTTCCCCACCCTCCCAAAGGCGCATGCCCCAGACAACTCACCTCTTCATAAGCTCTACACTTCTGCTCCCACAGCTCCCTGCCCATTGTTACAGCCTCTATCACCGCACGAGCCTCTGCCATCTGTGCACGAGCAGCATCTCGCTCCTGCATAAAGTCAAACAAGCCACAAGAGCGCATTGAGGACCCATACTGTGCCATGCATCAGGATCA